GGCCTGGGGGGTGTTGCTGCTTTTGAGGGAGGAAGGCCAAATTTTGGGGCTTTCTGGCCCCGCCCAACGCTTGCATTGAGTGCCGTCCTCCCACCATCCTCCTCCTTGCCCCTGCTGCCGCAGACCTGACACTCGACCCTTCACACAATGAGTAGCACTGGATTTTGGTATCTAAAGTAGCAATTGTGCTCCAATGATGAAAAAAAGCTGTCAGCTATCCCTGACAAAGGAGGGCTGTTGAGTGCCCTGTAATGGCAGGCGCCCAGTTGCTACTATACATTACCAGATGACAAATTTAAAGCTGTTTGCCCACAAGACAGACATGAGCGTCATGCACCTCCTTTAGCCGAAAGCCTCTGCTTTAATTCACGGTTTGCGATGCCCCAGCAGGACCAAAAGCCTCCATCCTGAGCTAGCCGAAATCTCAATACTTACAGCTCCTACATCTTGCAGGATAGCCTGAGGAGGGTGGGGGTCTCCAGCGCTGGGCTGATAAAACCCTAGTCTGTCTAATGTATCCCTGATCTGTGGGATTTCTGTCATTAATATGTCAAGTCTCCATTAGCAGAGGGTAAGTCTACAGAAGAATTTCACCTGGCATTAGCAGTCATTGGCAATGCGTACACTCTACTAAGAGTAGATGCATCGATGTGCAGTAATCAAAACAAGGAGGTGTGCCCAAGAACATGAGCTTTGACCCCCCAGACTGTCAGCATGGGTATTGCTGCTTTTCACACAGGTTTTCAAACATTTCGAGGCTTACAGATTTTCACTTTGATAACTGTGTGTGTGCGTGTAGGCGTGCATGTGTGCGTGTGTCCGTGCAAACACCACAGGCACGGCTTTAATTCCTTTGAAATCTGAAGCTGCCAAAAGCCATCTGGGTAGGTAGGCTCTTTGCCTGATGCCTCCCATTAATCTGAGAGGAACTTTGCTGTTCTCCATCAGTGCGTGAGGGGAAAGCTGTGAGGTGTGATTTCAGGGCATATGTGGATCTGTTCATCCTGAGCAATGCATTTTAAGAGTTGCAGCAAATAGCATAAAGAAACCTACAGGTATTACATTAGACCAGCTGAACCTAATTTTATTTTTAAGTTTTGTTCAGAAGCATCACATAGCAAGTAAACTTCAAAATCTAAGTTTAGTTACAAACTAGTTGTTTCTTATTTTTTTTTTCCAGTCCCCTTTTGCTTTCTTTTACGACCACATGAAACTTGAGAAGCCATCTAAAGCTAAATCATTTAGTGGAGTTGGGCAATTCCCAAGTGTCCAACAAGAAGGCCTGGTTTAGGCTGCGATGGCCACTGTCATTCCTGGTGATTTGTCAGAAGTAAGAGATACCCAGAAAGTCCCTTCAGGGAAACGTAAGCGTGGTGAAACCAAACCAAGAAAAAACTTTCCTTGCCAACTGTGTGACAAGGCCTTTAACAGTGTTGAGAAATTAAAGGTTCACTCATACTCTCACACAGGAGAGAGGCCCTACAAGTGCACACAACAAGACTGCACCAAGGCCTTTGTTTCTAAGTACAAATTACTAAGGTATTAAACTCTATTTATCTTTCAGATTATATTATCTATTTTATGTTGGCCGTGTTAAGCCGTGTAAAAGTATATATTTGTGTACGCCTTCAGCTGATTGCAGAGAGGATGTGTTAATTAAAGTAGCCATTGGATTGTTTCTAGAATTCTAAATTCCCTAAGTTTGCAAGCTAATGTCTTTGATTTTGTTTCTTAATTTGTTTTCTGCTTTTGTTTTCTGTTTGTTTGTTTGTTGTTTTTTTTTTTTTTTAATGAGCTTAGAATTTTCATTTGTATAAGGAATTGTCACGAGAAAAAAAAAGAGTATGGACTGCAAATTTTTTGGCTATGGACTTTTACATGAGTACTTTCTTACTTGCCCATATACCCCTGTTACAGTAGCTAAAACCCACCAAAACTAAAGTGTCGATTTAAGAGAAATGGCTCGCGTTTTGCTATATTTAAATTTGTCGAACTGTCTTTGTAGTGTCATGCTTTCAGTTAAAAGGTTCTGTTGCAAAGCAGCCCTTAGTGTAGTATTTAGCTGCCATTAAAAAATGAGCACGTGTGTTTTTTGATCAAAATAATTACTTACAGAATATATCTGTGTTTAAAGGCATATGGCTACTCATTCTCCTGAGAAAACCCACAAGTGTAATTATTGTGAGAAAATGTTTCACCGAAAAGATCACCTAAAGAATCACCTACATACACACAATCCCAACAAAGAGGCCTTTAAGTGTGAAGAATGTGGAAAGAACTACAATACCAAGCTTGGGTTCAAACGTCACCTGGCTTTGCATGCTGCAACAAGCGGTGACCTCACCTGTAAGGTATGTTTGCAGACTTTTGAAAGCACAGGAGTGCTGCTGGAGCACCTAAAAACTCACGCAGGCAAGTCATCGGGTGGAGTGAAGGAGAAAAAACACCAGTGTGAACACTGTGATCGTCGGTTCTACACCCGAAAGGATGTCCGTAGACACATGGTAGTGCACACTGGAAGAAAGGACTTCCTCTGTCAGTACTGTGCACAGAGATTTGGGCGGAAGGATCACCTCACACGCCACATGAAGAAAAGTCACAACCAAGAACTTTTGAAGGTCAAAACAGAGCCAATGGACCTTCTAGATCCCTTTACCTGCAATGTTTCTGTGCCTATTAAGGATGAGCTGCTTCCAGTGATGTCTTTACCTTCCAGTGAACTGACATCAAAGCCATTTACAAACACTTTGCAATTAAATCTCTACAACACTCAGATTCAGTCCATGCAGAGTTCTGCATCTGCACACCAAATGGTTGCCACATCGTTACCATTGGGAATGCCTTGTCCAATAGATATGGAGTCTGTCCACCCTTCTCACCAGCTATCATTGAAATATCCGCTCGGTACTACCTCATACGCAATTTCTATGCCTGAAAAAGAACAGCCATTGAAAGGGGAAATCGAAAGTTACTTAATGGAGTTGCAAAGTGGTATGCCTTCTTCATCCCAGGATTCTCAAGCATCTTCATCAAAACTAGGGCTGGATCCACAAGTAGGGCCACTAGATGATGGGTCTGGGGAGGTTTCCCTTTCCAAGGGCTCCGTTCCTATTAGTGAACCTCTAAACACCCCATCATTGGACTTTTCACAGCTGTTCAACTTCATACCTGTAAACGGCCCTCCCTATAATCCTTCTGTTTCAGTGGGAAACCTCGGAATGAGTTATACGCAAGAGGAGGCACATTCTTCTATGACTCAGCTTCCACCACAAACCCAGGATCCACAAGATCCTAGCAATAGTATAGGTCTTGGGTCTCTGCACTCATTGTCAGCAGCTTTCACAAGCAGTCTAAGCACAACCACCACCCTACCACGATTTCATCAAGCTTTCCAATAGGATGTACAAAGCTGGCTTGTTACTGTCTATTTGTAGAAATGCCTTAGGTGACCATTTTTAACTTAGTGCCTACTATAAGACATTATAAATTCTCTGCTTTTGTACAGTACCAATCTCATGAAGCCAGTAAGAAATTTAAATTAACTTTTTAAAAATGTTTTGAAAGTGTTTATTCTCAGCTGTGTTTACTTTGGTTTTTTTTTTAAAAAAAACAGTCTCATTGTATTGTTTTCATTTTCACTGCCAATTGACACACTTCAAATGTTCAGTGGAAAGTCATCCCAAACAAACTCTCAACACTCATCCCTTTCTTAAAACTTTTTCAACCACACCAGCTATTCTGTTTTATTGATGTCAGTGGTGGAACTACCGCTTTTATCTTTGAATATATTTTAGTATTTGCAAAGATTCCAGTTAAAATAAGTATCACAAAGGTTCCTGAAGATTTGGGAAAAAAATTCTCCAGTCCCTTTCCAAACAAATCCTCTTCCCAAATGGTGACACATCTGATCTGTTCTATAATGACAAATCAAAAATTTTTAAATAAATATAGAATTCAGATTTTTCTGAAAACTTGTGTGTGTATATATAGGAGTCCATATATACACATGTACATATATATAGCATTTTGACTTGTATTGAAGTCATTATAAAAGGTGTTAAGAATTTTGCCATTTTCTGGCTTAAATTTTCGTGGCCTGTTATTGATAACGGAAGAAAAAAATTTAGTTTAATACTCTAAAATCATGGCTGAACAGAATTTCAACAGAGAATCTCTGCTTGCCTAAATGACAAATGTTTCTAGTTGAATTTGGAACTGTGTTGTTGTGCTTTCATGACTCTGGTAGAGGGAAACAGGCGAAATTAATGGCTGATCTTGAAATATAAAAGTGTTGTAATTTAGTAATGCAGAATATTTTGTCGCAGTTTTTGTTTTAATTCTTAACTTGCTGTTTTTTCTCTTTAGTAGCATAGAAAGAGTACTGCATAGGAATCTTCCAGTAGTGTATTCACATTTGTAGGCATCAGTCTTCTCCCAGCTGCCACCGCCACAGGGTGGATCAAGTCCAGCCAGAAAGTGTGTATCTATTTTCAGTTCAATACTAGTGTGCAGTCAGAGAGTGAATGTAAATTTGAAAATACCAGGTTTTGTTTTGTTTTGTTTTGTTTTTTTTATTGGAATGATCTTTTCAGTTGTGTTACATGGTGTGTTATGTCCTCCTAAGCAACAAGTTAGATGTTAATCACACTTTCTACACCTGGGTACTTGGTTAGGGACTTTTTGCCCATTGCCAAGATTTAAAGACAGGACTCTTAGGAGTGAAGTAAAAGCATATTGCTTACACCACTTTTACCTAATGCAATATATTGTATTCCCCAACCCCTAATAACCAAAAGAGGAAAAAAAAAAAAACCCCAACCCTGTGATACATGAAAGCAAACTAGATTTGCTGTAATTCAACAATAACATTCTTTTCCTTGTCATTTTTGTACAAGGAATTAAAAAATAGAAATCATGTACATTAATATCTCTCAAACAATAATGAGGATTCATAGAAGGTTTTAAGTGGTTAAACTAAATATACTTCACAGAAACAAAAGTTGCTCCCATTTAAGGAGCTCACGCTCCGGATGTTTTATCAGTAGCTCCTACTTTTTTTTTTTAATTCTAGGAGCAATATGCAGGTGTAGTTTTACTATTTTATACATATGTGTATTTAAATTTTATTACTGAAAGATAACATTTTTATAAATGTGTTTGTGTTCCAAAGGCATTAAAATAAGGATGTATTAATAAGGAAAATACCTTTTGAAATTCTGCAAACTACTCCTAGATTTTGGGTTTAGGAGCACGTTATCTCAAAGTGGGCTTTTAGCTCTGCTTCATGACTGCTTCCTCTGGTTTCTGTGAAACAGATTGCTTGCTTACTTACATCTTTAGTTGAATGATTTGTTCAATATTGCTTTTTTTCTCATCACCTTTCTAAACGAAAGAAAAACACAGATAAACAGAGCACAAGGTGAATGCAACCGAATGTAACTCTAGTTTAAATCGGCAACCATAACGCATCTAGGAAGAACTCGGGTTTATTCTCAATCCTTTAAATCAATCCGCAATGAAGATAAATGGACTTAATTCCTCCACTGGGCTGTGTCCCACGTGGAGCCGAGCATCTGCAACTGCCCCTGCAGCAGAGGAAAGCTGCGAGTGCTCGGCATCCTGCGGCCGGCATCCTGGGCAGCCTCTAGCACACAAATTTCCAATCGTAGCGACTGTTTATCAGTCTCAGTCGCGGCTTAGACTTGATTAAAAAACCAAAACCCAACAGACACTTTGCCAACACTCGTCTCTTAGTGCGCAACCAGGATCCTTACTACTCTGTTCGTGCCTTAGCTTCCTGAAAAGGGATTGACATTTCACTTTGGAGTTAGACGTACATTTCACTTGAGAAATAGGGACCTCAGACAAGATATTGAACCTCATTCAGTCAGGGTTTCAGTGGGTGGCTGCGCCGAGTGTGTTTGCCACCGAGCTAGGCTGTACAGTAACGTGGAAGCAGACTGACACTGTAAGCAATACTACCGCCACCGGAGTGCTTTTGAGTATCACTTAGGCAGAGTCGATACTGGCCACTACTACAACGTCAGTTTTTAAACCCTGTTTTCTTGATTTCAGACGGATTCTCGGCGGGAGGGGGGAGGGCTGGCTGATCATGCACCACTCTTTGTGCAACTTCTAAACTTCTAGTAAGGTGGTTTTGTTTTTTTTTTTTTAAATATATATATTTTTGTGTACTTGTTGCTTGTGCTTTATTTAGTAGTAAATTTTGGAATAGAGTGATTTATTGTTAATTTGGCAGTAGCGGTTTTTAAAAACCATATACTGACTGAAACATGAGCCAGAGCTGATTGCTTTATTAAGCTAATAATGAATGTTAAGAGTACATATTTTCAGGATCATTTGCCTAGTGAGCTAAACATGTATTATAGGCCAATATTTTTTAAAATAAAGCTTGGTCAACCTCTATGTTACACATATTACAAGATATAGCACTTTCAAAAAGAAAACCTAAACCTTTTAAGAAAATTTCTTACAGGTTATGCTTTTTATTATAAAACCTTTTATTATAATTTGTTTCAAGTGCCATTAGATTACATATATGTAGGCCTTTGGTATAATGCTTTGTGTACAAAATGGTAGACATTGTAATTTTAAACAGGTACATTTTTACAGTGTTTTCTTATCAATTTGCTATATTGCACAGAACCAGCGTGTCTTTCTTAAGGGTTTTACAATGGTTTTTACTAGGTTTACATGTTTCAAACTACACTGTCTTCTACTGCCATTTTGAATACCAGTCAAAAAAAATTAGGAGTTTGTCCTCACCGATTGCAAACTGTGTCCTCTGGAGTTCTGGATGGTAAACTACGGCAAAAATGTTTAACATGCAGTATTTGATACAGATATTTTTTTTTCATCACATCCTACCATCGCTATGCTGCTGTCTGAAGTTGACTTAGGGCTTGGTCCTGCATCCGTAAAGGTCAAGGGGAGCAGGATTGCATCCTTCGTTATGTCTGTCTCATACACTGGTTTAGCAGCTCATCCTGTATTCTTCTCAGTCTATAGAAAAGCCTCTGAAATAAATGTACTTAGCCGGTATGTAGTAAACCGTGTAGGCTTAGCTGCCCGTCCTGCATCCTCCCAGTGTACAGTCACAACCACAGCCTACGTAGCATCACGCTCAACATACAAATAGCGCCACAGTAGTTCAAAATGTGTTTGGATAGTCCCAAAGCTTTTATGCAATAAGGGTGTCTTACTTTTGTTGGAAGGCAGTGTCTTTTGATAACAGTTATCTAGCCCTGGAAGTGACACAGAACTATTGCTAATCATATGTAAACACTTTTCAGTATAAGCTTCAGTGGTACAGTTGAACCAGAGTGAATGTTTATCTCCTCAGAAACACTCCTGCAATATTGTTATATTGGATCATGCTGCTAATGTAACTTGGGATACAACTCCTCTCATGGTGCTACAAACCTCCCTGTCTCATGCAGATGTATTTTTACCCATAGAAAAAAGGACTATACTAGACCTATAGTTGTATGATATATTTTTATACTGTGACTTAATTTGTCATTAATGAACTTTGTGCAACACCACAATGTATTCATAAGCACTTGCAAAAGTAAAATTTTGGACATGCAAATTTAAACGCTGACAAGCCCAGCTCTTGTTCACAAAAATAGGTGACTGCTAGTTAAAAGTAAATGTGGGCTTTTATATGGTGTGGAGTGAAGAACATACTATATATTGCTAAAAGCCTTTGAATTTAGACAAAAACTGGGAAAAGTATATTGGGGAATGATGACACACCCAAACCTGACTCAGATTGCTGAAATTATATTTTTAGCTAGTGGAAAAATTGTTTGGACTTGTATGCTAAGATGTTTTAATGATAAAAGTTTTGAGTCAAAAACAGAGAAAAAAATGAACACAGAAAACCCTGCATTCCAGACTGAATTTGTATATGTTTCTTGCATTTAAAATTTGCTATCCTGTGATATGGGAAATCGAGTTGCTTATCATGTATATGTACTTTAAAATGTATTCACAAACTACTGTTGTATTTGTATAAAATATAGACAAAAAGATTGCATATATATTTTTGTGTATAAGCTCTGTAAAATAGCAATCACATTATGAAGCTGCAGCAGAACTTCATTTTAAACATTCACATCCAAAGAAACAGACTATTTATTGTCCACATACCCTGATTATAAAATATACCTTGCTGCTATTAAACAATAGTGCTGCAGCTTCTTGTGGCCTACAGTGTTATGTTTGCTGTACAAAAATATGTGAACTCCACAAAATATATCAATAAAATTACAGAATGGTTTTAGTTAATGAATAACTTATGCCTGGCATTTCAATAGATAATCTTGATCTGCATGTTTGGGATTACAATAAGTTAATTACAGAATACATCCAGTTTTGCTGGGTGTAGTTAGGCTGAGTTTGCAAAGGTGTAACTGTCTGTCTAATCTATGACTGGTAAAATGTCAGTTTTCCAGAAAATCTTAAAGCATAAGTATCTGCGTTGCATGATTTCACCAAGGAACAAATTGGATGGTGCTACTGTGTCTGTGATGAGACAGAGCTGAAGGAAGCAATTGAGTTTGCTGCCAAACTGCACTTTGAAATGCTGTGAGATACTGGAAGGTGAGTTTGGGGTTTCCGTAGCGGGACCGCTCGTCTGGGAGACGTAGGCGAGCGATTCCTCCATCCCTTCAGATCAATGCAAGTCATTTACATCGATGGTTGTAGCTTGCAGGGTAAACTGCGAGGCTGCGCGGTATCTGGGTTGTCTCTCTGAAATATTTCCAGGAGGGACCGCGTCGCCTCGGTCCCACAGACCCCCTGCGGCTCTGCCTGTGGCGCTGCCGAAGCAGCCTGGCCCTGAGGCTCGGGGGGAGAGGTGCTGCGCAGCCGGGCGGGCGGCCTGCTCGCAGCCGCCGAGAGTTGCCTCTGCTGGTTCCACGCGGTTGTTCCCTAGCACGGAGTGTTTGCCAGGAGAGTAACAGACTAGCATGTCACGTTTCATTGCTTTTCAGAAGGTATTTCCTTAACATCCCCTCAGCCTTGCCTGTGTGTTCCTGCTTCTGGGCTCCTCTCTTTCCCAGGTCCTGACTTTTTAGATTTCTTGCTGTAACCCAGTCGGAGAGAGATGATCGTTGCAGAGGGTTGTTGGCTTTTGCCTTCTCTGTACGCAGGCATATTTCCCTTCTGGTGATCCCTACCCCTGTCCTCTGAGCTGAGTTACCACTTCTGTGTCACAGGTTTCTAACTTGCTTGAGAGGGTTGACCTTGTTATATTGAGAGTCAAAAGCTTTACAGATGTTCTACAATATGAAATGCTCTGCAAAACTATTTGTTCCCCCCTGCCCCCTGAGAGAAATCCACCCCGTTGTCTCGCTATCGTGGCTGGTCTCACCCACCGTGGCTGAATTAACATGTCCTCCTTCCCGACGGGCACCCTCTAGAAAGTGGAATAGGGACGCGTGGGGGGTATCTATGGACCAGAAAAATGGTCATTTAGTATTCTCTATACCTGGGTCTCGCTGTCCTCCAGAAGTGGAAGAGAAAGACTATTCTGGCTTCCCCCTTCACTCTCCTTCTTTTCCTTCTCATGTATAAGCATGCCCTGGGATAAAGAATGGGTTTTTTGATGGAGAAATCCAAAACTGTGATGCAGAGCTGCCGCTGGACCAGCAAGAACTGAGCAGCTTGCATGCTGTTGGCTTCCCTGCTTTGCAAATCAAAACGTTGTATTAAATTGGATAGAAATTAAGTTTTCCAAAGTGGCAGTTGCTGTAGTTGGCAGAGAGGGGGTTTGTCGTCAGGAACAGGCAGCAAGCAGAGCAGCAAGATAAGCTCTGTTACAAAATGTA